AATAAGGAGATCCAAGTTAGTTTATTCTCAGTTTGAGAAGATGAGAGGGAATAAGGAGATCCAAGTTAGTTTATTCTCAGTTTGAGAAGATGAGATCGAGGCAAAGCTTCTCTTGAATCCATTATTGTTTCCACCACAATGGACTAAATTTAATGGCTCTGAAGACCGATCTTAATGACATATGCAAACTATTAAAAGATAACAGTTCAGTTAAACTTCTGTAACTTCTATATTTTAAAAGCACTTCAAAATTTAGATTCTTACCGAAATTTATCCTAATTCACCCAACAATACAGTTTTTTAGAAAGAAAGGCCTCCCAGCTAACACTCTACTACGAAAATACTAGGGATTAAAAAATCACTTTTTTAACTTAAAAAGTTGAAATATATGTTCTATGTATGTATATATGGACATCTATTTTGGAGAAAGGGTGATAAAATATTTCTATTGAATTCTAGAAGATAATAATGAAACAAAAGATAATAATGAAACAATATAGCATAAACTTGTCATTGTTTGGTTATCAAAATATGATTCGGAAAGGAACTTACAATTATTAAACAGTGAACAGTATGATTCTTAATTGAACCATACAGCTCAGCTCAGTGCACAAAATGCATAATTTTACAAACTGTAAACATCAAGGTTGAAGTGGCTTATCCTTTTCTTCCTTGTAGAAGGCTTCATAAGTCTGCACCCTTGGCTTGGATTCTGGCGATTCCAATTCTTCCATAAAGCTATTGGTCATCTTAACGAAATCATTCATGTGAATTTGTTTCCATTCCTTCCAAATACAAAAATCAGAATTATGAGAGAGGAAAATGGAAAAAATAAAACGAATTTCAGCATAGGGGATGCATGAAAAGGTACTTAATTTGAAATAGAACTGGAAACCAAGAAATTTAATGTTACGACATGTAAAATCTAACGACATTGACACGAACTATGTATATCAGACAAAATGACCATATACTCATTATTCAATGTATATTAAGTTATCATAAAGTGAGTGAGGCCTTTAAGATTTTAAACCTTAAAAGGAATGTTTTTAACTAATATCAAGAAAGCTCTCCCAACAAGTTAATTCCCTCCTTAATCACAAGTCTACAAGATCAAACTTATGCTGCAAACTACAGATGAACCAAAATGCTTGAAGAACTGGACGAACTCCTTTTGTCAATCCTTTAAAACCAATCATAAACATGAGGGAAGCAAGAAGGAAAGCATAAAGAGAGGTGGTCAACTATCTCGCAGTCACCTAACTCTAACTACTATAATGCCATCTGCCTTTAATTTGTATGCACAAAAACAAGTAGCCATAGCTTGATCATCAAGGAAATTGAATTATATGTTGCCAATTACTCATGTTACACAAGGTTTAAGGCATAACATTCTCATATGATCTGGAAATCCTGTCTTCCCCAAGCTACACGGCGGCAAAATTTCTTTTATTTAGTCTTAGAGCGTAATCAAGGTTTTTTAAAAATAAAGTCGCAACTGCAATTGTGGCCACATTGTCAAGATACTTAGGGCCTTCGTGACCATGAAATTGAGGCTACATTGGCTGCATGTGTTTGTACACTCATCAGAGATTGAAACAAAATTGCAACCATGAATATAACTGCAATTTAAAACATTGAATGCAACCACAAGCAGTCAAGGCTCCTCGGTCACAAATAAGCCTCATTAACTAATTTTTCCATAATATAAAGAAAACAGAAGAATAAATTTGTTTGAAATTTAAAGATCATTTCATGCTTTTCTTTTGTCCCCAAAACTTTCTTATATTGATTCTGGGTGGAGGAAATGAGAATAAGAAAGACGGCATGCTCACCTCAAAGTCCCACTCTGAATATAAGTTGGGGTCATTTCTATTGTCCCAAACATATGCGTAAACTTGCATCTTTTCAGACTTGTCCTGTTACAATATATACTATCAATTCTTCTGAGACTAGAAAGCAATCAGTGAGATCATAAGTATATTTTTGAGAAACGTAACGTTTGCATCATTTGTTATAATAATTAGCAATAGGTTAAAGGATTAATAGAAAGTGAAATAAACCAGACTTACCTCCAAGAAAACCTCAACATCAGTTCTAGTATATTCATCATCCTCGAACTCATCTAAAATATGCAGTTCAACTCCCGATAAACCAAGAAGCACCTGATCAAATAAAACAAGAGTAAATTACACCGATAACGAAGTTCCATAAATTAGACGCGATACTTCTTACTTTCTAATTTTTACAATAATTCCTCTTAATTGTATGAAGAAAAAGAAACCATAATGAAATTCTTTAATTATTTGAGAAGCATAACACCGTATACCTGATAAGAGAGAGCCGTAATCATTTAAAGAAAATGCAGAGGTTATGTACAACCTCAAAAAGACGAAAGATGAAGAAGAAGTAAAAGCAATATAAAAGCAAAGCCAGAATTAAAAAAGTAGTAAATTAGAAACCATCAAACTTAAGTATATACAAAAAAGAAAGAAAGAAGACAAATTCATCTTAAATATTCTAATTTGCATTCGGTGTTTGCACACATCATTAACCTACAAATAGAACTTGGGTTTTTTTGGAGGCATAAAAACATTAAACCAAAAAAGGAAAATAAAAAATTGCAGAGACATAAAATAAAAATCACAACAAGAGTTAGGAAAAATGTGAATGGGCATGATTTTGCTTTAGAGAGAGAGAAATAGACGGATGAATAATTAGGAGGGATGTTCAGAAAGAGAGACATACCCTGCCATTAACTTTGTCATTGTGGACGGGGAGAATAGCGGGATAAACGCGACCTTTGATCTTAAATCTGTGACTGCAAATCAAATACCAATTCAAAGAAAGGGGAAAATCATTGGTTATGAAAATGAAAAGTATAAAATGTGATTTGAAGGAGTTGCAGAGAGAGAGAGAGAGAGAGTAACTGGTCGTGAAGGATGGCAGGTGTGGTCGGAGGAAGGCGCTTCAAGAGCGTATGGACAACCTCATCGGCCAGAAGGCTACCATAGACGAAGACGTTGTGCGTATCGCCACCCACGCAATTCACGTTTACGCTCATTTTTTTTTTCTCTTCTTCCTCTTCACTCTCTTCTCTACTACTACTCCCTCTATTATTTCAAAACTATCTTCCCATCTGTATGATTGTTGATAACTGTTTTTTAATATATATATATATATATATATATATTTCACAGCTAATTTTATTTTTATTGATATAATTTATTTATTTTTTAATTTTACAGCTGTTTTTATAATTATTTTTAAAATTATACTTTAATAAATTTAATAATGTTTTTATTTTTTATTATAATAACAGTCGGATACGCTAAACCCACGTGTTTCATAATAATACCAATAGTCTACTGAAGAAAAATTCTCAACACCTGTCTCTAATTTAAAAATCCCAGGCGTACAACTTTTTTCCTCCGGGGAGACGATGATAAAGCGCGGTGAAATTTTCACACCATAGGAAGAAATTCCATTTACAATTTAAAATAATAATATTGTAATTATATTTAATTTATTTCTTAATTTAAAATGTTTAAAACATTATTATATTATTAAAACGGATTGTGAAATAAGTGTATTTTCTTTGAAGGAGTAAAAGGATTATTTACTTTAAATAAAATTGAAACTAAATTAATACTATAGTACCATTAAATTGATCCATATTGACCAGGTGCAACAAAATTAGGCAAGGCTGACTGGTTTACTGTAATTAAGTGGGCTGAATACTGTGATTCATCAGCTTACCAAATTTTTTTACAATTTTTTGTTCTATAATATTATTATTTGGTTAACTAACATCTTGAATAAAATAAATTAAAATAATTATTATACTATTTTATCATAATCAATAATTAAAACTAATTTATTATAATTAATAGATAAAATTAGTTTTCAAATAATATAATGAAAGAAGTTAATCATTTTATGTTAATCTGAAAAAATGAACCAATTAATAGGCTAGGAAATCCGATTCACTTTATCCTCCTATTTAAAAAAAGTCGACTAAATGGACAGTTGAAAACCCTTGTCAGAAGCCATTCAATAACTTAGTAAAAGTTTGAAGAGTTATTCAATCTTGTTCTTCATCAAATAAATTCGTATAATTCATCTAAACTTCAAAATAAATCTAATAGATATAAAAAAAAAGTTTAATACCTATTTTCCTCCTTGGATTTGTAAGGTGTGTTTAAAATTGTCCTCTTTTTTTTCAAAAGTTCATTAACGTTCTATATTTTGCAAAAACGGTTTATGTTAATCCTTTTTACTTACGGCGTTAAAAAGGTTAACGGCAGACTTGCTCCGGTGACAAAAACTTTATAACATGTATAATTATTGTTGACGTGGCATTGTGAGGCCATTTGAGGCCAATGAGAAGATGCATGGCAGATCCCTTTCCACCCAAATTTAGGGTTTCACAATTGCATAATGGGCAAGGGCTTTCTCTGCAACTCGAGGTTCTACCACGAATTGTCGTGGAAGCACGATTCAGGTATTCACAACGGCGGTGTGATTATTGTGCAAAGGAGAACGCCATGGCACTACGATTCAGTCATCGCGATGTAAATGAGTTTTTGGTTCTATTTTGTGCAAGAGCGATGAACTCGTGAGGAAGAAGATGCAATTTAGGGTTTCTGTTTCTGGATTTTTGTGTTTAATTTTGCTCACACTTTTTAACAGAGCAAGGAAAGAGAGTCTTATGTTATTAGATAATGCAATTAAAGTATAAAGTCTCTCGGTGAAAATTAAACATGTTTATTTTAGTTGGGGCAGTAGTTCTTTGTAGGAGCTTGGCGATTGGTTGCTGTAGAAGAGTTTCTCCACTATAATTTTGTTCTTTACAAAAACAATACCACCATTTTCTTTATTTCGTTTAATGATTTTCGTGTTATTACCTATAACACTTCTTGATTGCATCAAACTTTTCTCATCTCCTGGATTTGTTGAGAGGGGAAGTTTGGAGGAAAGGGATCAGAATTTTAGGAAAGGAGTAGATGAATGTCGCATTAAAGAATGGATGCTAAGATTGCCATTATGGAGAATGAAATAACAAACCTCAAGACAACTTTAGCAACAATGTTGTTAATGGTGGAAGAACATCAAAAGAAATTGGTGTCAATGCTGGAGAGGAAGAAAATGGATGTTGCAATTGTGAAACCCTAATTTTGGGTGGAAAGGAATCTGTCACGTGACATCTTTTCATTGGCATCAAATGACCTCACAATGCCACGTCAATAATAATTGTACACGTCATCAAGTTTTTGCTAGCAAACAAGTCTGTCGTTAGCCTTTTTAACGTCGTAAACAAAATTGACTAGCGTGAATCGTTTTTGCAAAGTATAAGACATTAGTGAACTTTTGAAAAAAAAAAGAATAACTTTGAATACACCTACTGAAGGACCAAAATAGGTATTAAACCTAAATAGTTTAATAATTAAGGAATAACAACTCAATTATATGTTTTAAAAATATATGTACAAAATTCATCTCAAACCAATAAAATTTTCGTTAAATTACACAAAATTAAGAACAGTTGATCCTTTTTTACAACTTAAATAACCCAAGTTTTTACTTAATTTAATTATACATACACAAATTAACCAGTAAAAACTATCATTAGAAGCTTTCAAACCAGTAAAAAATTCGTTACGTTCCACAAAATTAACAGTTCATCCTTTTTTACAACTTACATAACCAAAGTTTTTACTTAATTTAATTATACATTCACAAATTAACCAGTAAAAACTATCAGAATAATGAAATCAACCTTTCACATGCTTTGACACGACAATAACACTTGATTTTAAGCTGTGCTACAATAAAAAAAAGTGCCGTTTCACGAACTTCACAGAAAAAAAAATCTAGTCTCAAGGTTAGCCTAATATTCAAGAGTCCATTTTTAATTTGATGCTAGATCTTGAGATCTCTCCCATTTTATACTACTAACTACCAGGACCAAAATCAAAATTTTAAAAACATTGAGTTGATAATTGTTTTGTTTGCAATATCAATTTAAGAAAGTATGCATGTAACTTGGGAGCTATATAATGAAACAAAGGTTAATCATAGTACATAACTCAAGGATAAAACCCGACTAAAAACAATATCCAACCAAAGTAAGCAACTACACAAATCGTTAAGCAGTTCATAAAAGAGAGATGGCAAGATATAATCTATCCGGGATCCATTCAGAAACACAGCAACTTCTTCACATGCTCATCGGCTCTGGGGCACCAAGAATGTCAAGCAAAGAGTTATGGGGCTCCAGTTCCTCATGCCATAATGGAAGTTGGTCGCCAGGGTAGAAATTCCTGGTCACTCCCTCTGAGTTTATCTACAAGGATTGCAAAAGCTAAAATCAGGTGGCTTCAAATCATTGTGCATGTATATAGTATGAACCTTATTTCTAAAATACAAATTATCCTTTCGAGTCAATTCAGTACATAAGGTTCAATTTCCCGCAATGAATTATGCCTCTTGCTCATTCCCCTACCCCTCCTTATAAAGCCTACTATAATTCAAGAAACACAAAACACTGGTCAGATGTCTTACTATGACGGTTCGGACCACCCCACCACTGGCACCATCACGAGCAATAGCCAGTGAAACTGCCTTTTTAACTAAATCCTGCCACACAACATCATGTAGACAGTCAGCAAACATCAACAGGGATAACAATTTCATCCTAATCATTTCTAGTTATTTTCCATTGTTCGTATCTGAAGCATGTTGTTGCAATGACAGGAAAATCAGATTAGGTCTCCAAAAACTAACATCTACAATAGTTCTTGGTCCTGAGTTCACTGTTTAACTTAGAAATAGCAACAGGAGGAATCAAAACGCATACCTCAGCTTCCTCCTTGCTCATTCCCTCTTTCCAGGCTTGATCAAAGAAACCATACAAGTAACTAGAGCCAGATCCTGCAGAAAGACACATCGAGTAAACCATAAGCTTAACAAACAAAAGTCAGCAACCCAAGGAAAAATCTAACAGGCTAGCAGTGAAAAATTTAGAAATAAAAATAAGCTCCACACAAAAACCCATAAACCCATTTGCAGCAAACAATGGTCCAGGCGTATTCCAAATTGACATCTAAAATCATGTATACACCACAGACAGATACAAGACAAAAAAATAGGAATGCGAAAAAAAATTATAATTATAGGACATGATAGGGTGGGAAATTGATAATAAGACATCCAATTAATATTATGGGCAATTGATAGAAGCAATATATGTATATAGGGATATTCACATTAATGGCAGGACATGAATACAGAAATCATAACAACAAGATTGTCATAAACACATTTTAAAATTAAATACCTCCAATAGCAAAAGGTTGCTGTACTATTGTTCCACCCAGAGGGACGCCAAAAATTTGTCCACCTTCATATTTATCCCAACCTCCAACAATTAACCCAGTCTCTAAGAAATTCTGCCAGTGAAAGTTAATTTACAATAAAGTTAAATATCAGTTATACCCCACTCTCCAATATTAAATAAATGGAGAGAGAGAGAGAGAGAGAGAGAGAGAGAGAGAGAGAGAGAGAGAGAGAGAGAGAGAGAGAGAGAGAGAGTACTAGGAGAATCCATCAGGTTAACACAATAATGGAACATTTGATAATCTTTGGAATAAGAATACTAAATTTCCTTTATGGTTTGAATGTGAAAATTCTTATCTAGAATTGAAAATGGTTAGCATAAATGACAGTTATGTCAGAAAATTGCAGTACATCGTTCCCAGTTGATTCTCTTTCTCCCACTCAACCAATATAAAAGGTCTTTGCAACTTAAAAAATGTCCCCTAAAACCCCTTCCAAAGTTACACTAATACTAACGGAAACTTTTCCACAATCACGATTACCTAAACTTAAAATATTTCACTATTCTGATCTTAACAGTCCAAAGTGATGTTGAGTTGTTCAGTGAGATCTATGATTAAATATTAGAGATGATTCGTTAAATTGGCATTGTGTTATATTCCTTTAATGAGAAAATTCTAATAATCGAATTTGACTCATCCACTTCATTGATCAATTAATCCAGTTCAAAAGTGATGACCAAAATTTCAAGTACAGGAGTAAAGGTGTTGAGTTGGGCAAGTTTTGAAAACTCTTCTTCCAAAGTAATCACTATGATTTTGGTCTATACATTTCTCACAACTCTCATTTTGTAGTATATATTGGTCTCTTCCTCGTTGAAATTGGATATAAATGCTATGATTACAGCTCAACTGCTCTAGAATAAAAATAATACAATGAAACAGCTAGTTTTAATAAACAATGTGAAATTAATTTAACATTTATTTAGCCCAAAGTCTCAACTTTATCAATTTACAGGTGTAACGTAAGGTCTAGATGAACCTGATAATGTATCACCAAGGTGAACAAGAAAACATTGGATAATTCAAGCTTAAGCAGAACAAGCCTTAAAGCCAAATCTTGTGGAAAGAGAGTAATGCATAGAGCTCAGAATTCATACTATCACTAATGGTGAAACTCAACCATGCAAGTGAATTACAAAGAGCAGGGCTTAAGGTCAAACCTTGTTGTTGTATGAGAGAAGCCGGACAAGGTTTGCAGCAACTTTAACTGTTGCAGGTTGTCCAAGTTGTATCCTATAGAAAAAGAAAAGTCTCAATGAGGTATATATAGGGATGGCAAAAAAATCCGCGCCCGCGGATATCCGCGGATAAAATCCGCGACGGATAGTTGGTACCCGCGGATATTTACTATCCGCGGGTTGCGGGTAGCGGGTTTTTTAATACCCGCTTATAAACGGGTCGGGTGCGGGTATTATACTATCCGTATCCACGGATATCCGCTACCCGCAAAAAATAAAAATAAAAATTTAATTTATATTTTATTAAGTTAAATTTAATTAAAATTAACATTAATTTATATTTTATAAAGTTAAATATAATTAAAATTAAATTTTAATTTATATTTAATTTAATATATATTATATTTTATATATTTTTTGTAATTTTATTTAAATTTTATTATAATATTTTATAAAAATATATTTTTTTAAATATTTATGGGATATCCACGGGTATCCACGGATATCCGCGGGTTTTAAAACATCCGCGGATATTTTTTAAGCGGATATCCGTGCGGGTAACGGGTCGGGTAGCGGGTGAATTTTTTTTTGTCGGGTCGGGTTGCGGGTAGGCACTATCCGTGCCCGACCCGCTCCGTTGCCATCCCTAGGTATATATCACTGTAAACACACACTGAATCATAGTCCAAAACTTCAGCCTCCAGCGGAGTATATCCAATTAGTATAAAATGAGGGAAATAAAGTCACTTACGTGTGTTGATGGAGGAAGTAACGCACATAGTCAGATACAATCTGAGAATCTGCAGCCTGAAAAATAATGCACATTATAATTTGTTCATAAAACTATAACAGTGGATGAGAGATTCCGTAATCATCTTTCTTCCAGATTAGAATCCAAACATGTTCAGCATCACACGAGGCTAGCACGAAGCAAAATAATTAATTACGTTATTAATTTCAAAAGTCCAAACAGAACTTCCAACTAAACTCCATCCACTCACATTGACAAAATTTTAGCGACAGACAAACAATTGAAAGTGAGCAACATATATAATGTAAGAAATCCAGGGGAACTTTGATAATAACATACCAAACAACTAAAAGCCCCATTCTCCGCCAATACATTCAACTAATAAACTGTGTATGAAATCGCATAATTTTAAACCTTAACAAAAATGTTCAACACAATACATTGTGAGGAGTGAAAAGGCATATATATATAGACACAGCAAGCAAGTGAATATCCATATTAACATAAGCACGAAGCAAATCCAGGGTAATTATAGGCACAGATCACCATGAATAACAACAGTTTGGCATCTGAAAAAGAGTCATAGGATGGAAAGATAAATACCGATCCAGAACGACAGACATAGACATTATCAGTGAGCTGTGTAATTTTGTCTGATGCCCGGTTGGCAACATACACTCCTGCAAGTTGAAAAAGGACCCATTATTACTCCCCAAATTAACAGCAATAATCCAATCTCGATTCTCAAAAATGAAGCAAGGAATTAATCACCCAGAGGAAGAAGCTGTTTAAAACACTGAAAACGAAAAACCCTAAATTAATTTGGGTTTGGATTTGAGCTGGAGAAAGAGAGTGTACCGGTGCTGGTTCGAGAATCGGCTCCTAAGACGACACCGTCTTTGTAAGTAACGCCGATGATAGTGGTTCCCATGGAATGGGGAGCGCTGAAATCGACTTTTTGATCCATGATTCAACAGCGAAGCAGCAAGAACAAGAAGAACGAAAGAGTGAAAATGTTGAGAGTGCCCTAATAAAGCATAAGAAGAAATCAAGAAAACAGGTCCTGCTTTACATATTCTTCTTTAGACTTGTTGCATAAGTTTTTTATTTATCTTTTTTTAAAGAAGACGAAAAGCATTTATTAATTTATTATGTTATTATATAATATAACCAGATATTATATACAGGAGAAAAAAAATACATGACAAGACAAGATAGTATACCCGTATATTATCATCTTTACTGTATACTCATATATAAAAAATGACCTTCTATAATTTTTTATATTAATTTGATAAAAGTAAGGCTTAATTGGTTTTTTTCTTGTATTTGTTGGTATCTTTCAATTTGGTCACATAATTCTTTTGGTTTAATTTAATGTCATGTTGTATTTTTAAAAGTAATTTTTAGGTCATTTTCATTAGATTTTGTGTTTATACGATGCGTAAATTTGTAATATTTTCATTTTTTATATTTTTTTTAAAAATTTATTTTAAAAAATTTGTCATTAATACGTCATTCACGTATATTAGGTCTTAGTAACAATGTTTTATTTTCAATTTAGTTTTTATATTTAAAAATTTAATTCAATATAATCTTTATTTTTTAAATGATAAAATATCATTTCTTTTCAAAATAATTAACTATAAGTAAAACTTATATATACATGTTAAATTATTTTTTTGAAAAAAAATATTTGTTTTAAACTTATAATTTTTTTAAATATTAAAATGTTAATGTAAAATGACATTGCTATTTTTTAAATTTTAATAATTAAAATAATTTAAAAATGTATTTTCCTTGTTTAGCTTCTTTATAAATTTAATTTCACATATATAAAATTTAAATATTTCAAGTATCACTTAACTTTTTCATTTTAAATATTTATTGAAAAATTAATTTGAATATTTTGGTGGTGTGAAAAATTAATTTGAATATTTTTGAAATTATTTTGGTGGTGGTCTAAAAATTACATTTGATATTTGTATGGTGTGATTTGATGTATAGTTTTGAAAAATATTTACATTCTATACTCATCTATACTACTAATATATATATATAGTAACTAAGTTTAATTATTAATTTTATTTCATTTTAGACGCAGAAGGACAATCTTGCTCCATTAAAAAATGAGAATTAAATTGAATCAAAATTTTAAATATAAGGACTAAATTGAATGCTAGACATTATCATGTGTCAAGTAGTCAAAAACATCACTAATTTAAGCTAAACCAAGTATGATAAGTACTTGGAATCCCGAGTGAATGAGCAAGGACTACCTTGCAAGGTTAAATACTCTCAAGTGACTGACAGTGAAAGAAGGGTGAAAAGAACCCCATCAGAAAGTAAAATAGAACATGAAATCGTAAGCTCCCAAACAGTGAGAAGAAGTTAGACTCAGTCCGAGACTCTGACTATGCCCGTCTTGAAGAATAAATCAGCAACTCATAGGTAGTAGCATTTGACACATTAAAAAATTTAACGTAATTGGGTTAAAAGAACTATATTCATTAATTTTTAAAGTTTGTAAACCAAAATGTATTAAAGTGTCATAAAAGACGAATTTTAATTTTTCATCAAAGTTTCAAGACTAAAAACATACTTACATAATCTATAAGGTTGTGATAATTGTTAAGATATTGAACTTTTATAGATTGTTTATGTTGTGAATTGAATGTTTGTGAAAGTCGGACTTGGTAAAAGACTTAATATGAGGTTATAGTGTATCAATTGAATTAGATTGGATATATATTTTTGTGTGGAATGTTGTGAAATAAGTGGACTCCTAAGGAGGGAGTATTGCATTGAGATGATGATAGGTGGTGTATTGAAAAGGATTTCATATAAAAATTGTCCTGACTCTACTTAGTATTGGACTCGAGTAAAGGAAGATGTTGGTTGTGAAAATTGAAGAAGGTTCCTACTATAATTTGGAGTTTTTATATGGAAAAAGAAATCAAACGTCATAGACATAAGGAATTTACCTAGTCCTACTCGAGATAGATTATGGTTCTCTAATATATGAACTCTATAGTTATAGTTTCTAAGAGGTGAAAGTGAATTATGAGAAATGTGGAGTCTCTGTCGTTCAATACATTAATTTTCTAAAAGTAAAATCAAATGCATATGTTATTATATAGCCATGAGGGTTGTGTTATTTGATAGACATTTGAATTTTTTATGAATGTTGTTATTTTGAGTTGATGATCAATTTGTTATATGTAGTATTGTTTAACTTTTACTAGCTTGCCATTTTTCACTACCTTATATATGTAGTAAAATTAACCTAACTTGCACTGATTTTTAAAACTGTAATGAACCAAAAACTATTTTATATAAACTGAACTAAAAATTAATTAAGACGAATTGAATTAACTATTTTTTATTATATCGATTTGCACTCCACTCAACTACACTAAATTGCAATGTGAACTAAAATACTATGTACCTTAACATGTTTCCGAAATATACTAATTTTGAACCGAATTACACTAATTTTGAACATAACTGCACAAATTTTGAACTAAATGACACTAATGTTAAACCGAACTACACAAATTTTAAACTGAACTATAATATTTTTGAATTAAAAAACTAGAAAAATAGTATTTATCCATTTCATACACAGTATAGGTTCCTCATAAAAAAAATACACAAAACTAAGTAGATAGGAAAGATTTTCCCTTACTCAAGAACATAGGTTCTTCTAAAACACAAAATTTCAAAAAATCAATACATCTTCAATCATCCAAATTACTAGCACTTAAGGTCTTACTCATCTTGAGAGGTTATCTCTACAAAAATAAAATAAAATATTTCATCATTTTTTAATACTTAAAATATAAAGTAATATATATATTATATATATATATAATATATAGATAATAATTGTTAGAAATGTAGAACAGTGATAATATTGCATTTGGAGGGAATTGGTTTCTTGAAATAAGTTGCATTTGGAGTGAATTGGTTTCCTTGAAATTTGCATTTGGAGTGAATGGTTTCTTTAAAAAACGTACTTTACAAAAAAAACCCTTTTCATAAATTGACTTTACAATTAAAATTGATTTCTTTTAAATAATAATAGGAAAAATAAAGAGTATAGGAAAAAAAGAGGTTGCACAATAATTTTATACTTATTCAAATAAAAAAACCTTACATCAGTTGTTTAATGCCTCTAAGAGAGGGATTAATCAATCACTAAATTCTAAAACTTACAATCACAAAGAAAGATACTTAGGTTTGAAAACATCTCTCTTGAAGTCACAAGAATGAAAGACACCTCTCTAGTACACCTCTTTTGAAATCTACACAGCAATTAATCACCTCCTTTTCCTCCTATAAAGGATGAAGACATGAAGAAACACTTCTCCTTAAATCCACAAGGAATGAACATCTCTGAATTACACAAAGGATGCACAATTTCTCTTAGTAACAACAACAACACTCAATCACCTAAGAACCACTTGGTGAAAGTTATTGTTTTATCTACACTAGCTTTTTCAACACAAACACATAGAGTTTCTTTTAGTAATCCGACTCTAAACTTAAGTGAAAATTTGTTTTAAAACTAGGTTTAGCCAAAATATAGAGTATGTGAACCATATTTATAAAAAAGGTTGGTTGAGGATCTTTAGAGTTAGAACCTTGAAAGAAATTTAGTAAAAATGGGAAACAAAATTTTCAAAACGTCAATATCTTGAGCTACAGAACTCTCATTGGGTGATTCAAAATGGTGTGAAAGATCAATTCTAAGCTACAAATTAGGCTAAGAAACATCAATTTGGATGTTGTAGAAAAGAAAGTTATAAGTATGAGATAAAAGTGGACAAAAATTGAGATTCTATAAATCGAGAAGAAGAAGAAAAAATAAAGAGACAAAGATAAACAAAATGAAAGAATCACTTTTTCATAGGAGGCAACACACGAAGATGGAAAGTCCTTGATACAACAAAAGATTCTTGAATCACTCAAGAACTTAAAGACTCACTCTCACTAAGATAAAAGGGATAACCCTTATTTATCTGAATAAAAACTTGACTTGTGCATTTTAATGAAAAATAGTTAGCTTATAAGGAATATGTCTAAGCTTCCAAATTGGTTTTATTACAACTTAAAAATAAAGTCAAACTAAAGCCCACTAATTAATTGACCCAAAGACATAATTTGGTTAGCCAATTTTACAAAGATTGGACTATTTTAAAAACAAACTAATAACTTGTAAAATAAAATAGCAGCAAAATGGTGTTTTATTTCTCTTCCATTTGGGCCATAATGCAATTCACCATCTTGGTCTTTTATCCTCTTGAAATTGGGTTTATTCAATAATATGGACAACACTGTGACAACTATCATTTGCTTTCCTTGCTAGCCCTTGTATAGGTCGTCCAGGTCTTTCAAGTGGATCCTTATTGTTACTCATGGTCACGTCCAATCATTGGTTGGATTCACATCATGTCCTCCTTCTTTGAGAAGAATTTGTCCCAATTTTAAGGCTTTATTCTTCTACTAAGGAGTTTGTTATGTCCTTTTAAAGGATTTATTTTCAACAACAGGAAACAACTTCTCGTCCTCCAGGATCATATACAACTTGAATAAATGTATATTTGTTCCTTTCCAATGGTGGCAATATGTGGAGCAACTCTTTTGCCAACACACCCTCGCCTTCATATGTTACAACAAATTAACTCTATGTGTTGTGTTTTCATACTCCAAGACTTTGTTTTTCATCAACAAACCGATGCATTAATAAAGCATTACAAACAAACATCCTTTTCAAAAATGGGAGTTAATGTATTTCATCACATGCCCATCATTTTGTTCCTTGTAAAATGAAATCACAAACAGTACAAGAAAATCATTAAACAAATAAATTTTCCATGCTTTATTTCTCTAGTTCTTTCTCTTTATCTTCATTTTCTCATTCGTTTTCTCTCATTCTTTCTTCTCTCTCTATTGCTTTTTTTTCTATTCTTTCTTTTTCTATTTTCTCCTTCAACATAAGTTGATCCTTCATGACTTGTTTTGATGTCATAAACTTCCACTTCATTTCATGTCCCTCATGCCTTAAATGAAGTGAGCATTCATCGAGATTGAATGTTTTAAAATGAAGTCATGATCGTCCTAAAATAAATGACCAAGAGTCCATGGGAGCAATATTACATAATACTTCTTGTACACATTGTTAGTAGTGAATCTGATTCATGCTTGATTCGGATACGAGCTTGTTGGTAAGTGAAGTTTCCCATCAATCTTTGGCTCACAACATTGTTGGTGTTTCCATAATTATATGTACTAAAAAAGGGGACCTTTCGATTTAAACACTTGATAGAAAATTTCCATCACCAATTGAAGTTTGCATCTAAGTATACATCCATTTCTATCGTGATTAACAAACAAATCAACGTAAAAAGAACAAAGTGATTATAGTGGTTAAAATTCAAAAACCAAATTGGGATAGAGTAGATAAAAAGATCGCCTTAACCTTCAATAATGATTTCGACAAAAAAATTTCTATCTCTATAACAATAGTGATTGAAAACGAAATGGAACAACAATAAAACATTGAACAAAAAGATAAAAGTAATGACATAATTCAAGCCAGAAATTAATTGAACGACAAATATAAAAGCAATTAATTTTTTCTAATAATAATAGTTTATCTATAGTTTAATACATATCCATTAATTTATGCCCAACATTATATGTGTGGGTGTAAAAAAAATCAATTATTTTTCCCTTACTTTTAATCTCTTATGATTAAGTAAAAAGGACACATGTAATTAAAATAAATAAATTTTAATGTGAAATTAGAATTTATTTATGTCAAACTTTATTGTAAGTTGAAATTTTGTATTTATGTTCAAACTTTATTATACGTTGAAATTTTAAAAATAAATAAATATAATTAATATTTGTGTCCAATTATTATACATTCAAATTTAAAAATAAATTAATATGATTTTAGTAATAAATACAGGTTAAGAAAATTTACATATTAAACAAAGTTTCATTTTTAACCTTTAAACTTATAATTAAATTATGTAGTTTGTAGCATTAATTGAAAAAGTTTTGTTATTACAAGCAGAAATGATTGAGGACTTGGAATGAAGACTATGAAGGGTTGGAGTTCATGAAGAATCGGAGAAAAATCATCTAGCAAATGTATTTTACTTATGCAACATGAAGTTTGATCAGGAAATTTTTAATCTAATATTTGAATATACGTTAAATGTATTTAATCCACTAAGTAAATTTACTGAAAAGTGACTTCATGATGGAGGAGGTTGGAGAAGAGCTAAAAGAAAAAGGTAAACCCCGTAAAAAAGTTCGACCCACCCGCCCTAAAGATTAAGGCGAGTGCCTTCAAAATCCTGTTCTGCAAGGTGCGGTTGCGTCATTATGGATATAATTGTAACTCAATTGTAGATTGTTATGGTTTAATTAACTACTAGCCAACATACATGATCAAATCTTCAATGTTTTACACATGCAAGATTATACTGCACATGAATCCACAGCCATTCGTTCGATCAAGAAATAGACGAAACACAAAGGTAAAAACTTGCTCAAAACATAAGTATCATTAATTTCGGAATAGCTATTAACTTGGTAATTTTTGGATTGGTGTGAACGAAATAAATATAAAGATTAACCATTCTCAAAATTATAACAGTGTAAATGTCAAAAGTCTCCGAACATTCCAATTCAAAATATTGCCCTCCTGAATTTAAAATGGCCGTAAAAGAGGGGATTAACTATATGATGTTACTTGAAAATTGAATGAGGGTTAGCAGGGTCCGCTAAATCAGTGTAGTTGTCGAACTCATCGTCAGTTTTCTCCGGTCATCTCCAGCCCCCTCAAAACTCACCCATCCAAAACAATAGGTTCTGGCAGTGGCTGCAGTTGACGTGTAGGTATGGATACATGAGGAGGGTGTGGAAGTTGAGCTGTTGCAACATTTGTTAGCATGTTTCCCACTCCAAGTACTTTCCTCACTTCATTCGCAAGCTCTATCACTAAGTTGTCCTCATGGCCTGAACACCGGAACGAGTATAAATAAGAGTGCTGGGTCACACAGACAGAATAGTTTTTACTAACTGCATCTGTATGTGTCAGGAAATAACTCACCAATATCATGCATAGCCTTTTCTAGAAGGAAAAGATAGTCCCTGTTGTTTCCGCAAGGACCATACGCAGTTGCTATTTGCCTGAATGGATTGCCAAAATAATTAGTGAAACCAAAGAACAGGTTACCACTTCACCAAATAAAAGCCAGGAGAAAAATGTATGCAATATACACACACACACATACCTAGCCATGTCTTCCAGTGGGGCAGGTCCCAGGTAGTATTTGTTGTTCACTTTGTCTGGAGTTGATGTAAATCTGTAGATTGACATTATATCTATTAGCAAACTTGACCTAGTCTTCGTGAGCATGAACAAAGCAATTGAAACTCTGCATTTTTTATTACTTATTTTGAAAAAACTTATTGCTTATTATATGCCCTTTCCGATTGACCTTTTGGAAAAACAAATATTTCCCCAGAAGACAGTTACATATACTGATATCTAAAAGCTAAAGAAAATCATAAGGAATGTCAAAAATGACATACACTATTACGTCAGTCAAAGCAGGGTGCTGTGAATCTCCTTCCTGAAGAAAAAGATATTAAATTAGTGTTGATGGCAACCAAATACTACAAATGACGACGATCATTTGGGTGGAAAATATTCCAAGATTGCGTCACTCACCTTGAAGAAGGTTACNGCTAAATCAGTGTAGTTGTCGAACTCATCGTCAGTTTTCTCCGGTCATCTCCAGCCCCCTCAAAACTCACCCATCCAAAACAATAGGTTCTGGCAGTGGCTGCAGTTGACGTGTAGGTATGGATACATGAGGAGGGTGTGGAAGTTGAGCTGTTGCAACATTTGTTAGCATGTTTCCCACTCCAAGTACTTTCCTCACTTCATTCGCAAGCTCTATCACTAAGTTGTCCTCATGGCCTGAACACCGGAACGAGTATAAATAAGAGTGCTGGGTCACACAGACAGAATAGTTTTTACTAACTGCATCTGTATGTGTCAGGAAATAACTCACCAATATCATGCATAGCCTTTTCTAGAAGGAAAAGATAGTCCCTGTTGTTTCCGCAAGGACCATACGCAGTTGCTATTTGCCTGAATGGATTGCCAAAATAATTAGTGAAACCAAAGAACAGGTTACCACTTCACCAAATAAAAGCCAGGAGAAAAATGTATGCAATACACACACACACACACATACCTAGCCATGTCTTCCAGTGGGGCAGGTCCCAGGTAGTATTTGTTGTTCACTTTGTCTGGAGTTGATGTAAATCTGTAGATTGACATTATATCTATTAGCAAACTTGACCTAGTCTTCGTGAGCATGAACAAAGCAATTGAAACTCTGCATTTTTTATTACTTATTTTGAAAAAACTTATTGCTTATTATATGCCCTTTCCGATTGACCTTTTGGAAAAACAAATATTTCCCCAGAAGACAGTTACATATACTGATATCTAAAAGCTAAAGAAAATCATAAGTAATGTCAAAAATGACATACACTATTACGTCAGTCAAAGCAGGGTGCTGTGAATCTCCTTCCTGAAGAAAAAGATATTAAATTAGTGTTGATGGCAACCAAATACTACAAATGACGACGATCATTTGGGTGGAAAATATTCCAAGATTGCGTCACTCACCTTGAAGAAGGTTACAATAGTTTTTCTGTCATATTCACATTCCCGTCGCTCCAAATACTACACAACAAAGAAACAAACAATTGAAGCCCGAACGTACATAAATTCGCTAAAAAGGTTTAAAAAGTTTAGGATGGTTATTGACACATTTAATCTGAAATCACTAATGAAATACCACAACCCAGAAGTCCGTTTACTTTTAAAGGGACTCTATTACGACCCTTGAAATTCTTCCAAGTTACATTAAGGTTAAAAAGCTAGTTTGATAACAGCCAAAGGTGAAATTTTCTTTTACCTGCATGGCCAATTTTTCCCTTTCAGGGCCTCCTCGAACACAATAAGCAGTTCCCCACTGCAGAAAGACGGAAGAATTATACGAAAATAAATAGAAAGATAACAATTAAGTACAGAAACGACATAACAAGGAACTTACGCAAATAGCTCCTTCTTTCTCCTCCAACGTGCAAGTTCTTGCTGGGCTTTCTGGGGTTCCCCTGTGATCAATGCACGCTGCAAATGCACAATGACATGTCTAAGCAACTGCGGAAGCTGTTTAAATTCAAAAAGACAGGCACAAAAACTAACGGAGCGTGATAAAGGGCCTCACCTAAATCGAACACGCGTCTGTAATCCTTAATGAAACCAACAATCTTCTCATCGTAATCAAACCCCGGGTTCCACACCAGTGAACCGTAGCCAAACACCCAGAAAACCATGATTTCTGAGGAAAAAAAAATCAAACATCAGTGTTTAACATAAATATTTCAAATCTGTTGCCGTGGACTATAGCAACAGATATCTGAGATCGGAGCGTTTTGTTGTGGAATTAAAACATTGCACACACAAATTATACGGTTGATAAACAGTGAACGATAATGTTAATAAAGTAGGGCATTGAAGAGGTGATACGAAAGAGAAAACGAAAATGAAGAAAAATAAAAAGCAGAAAAAGGTACCCACATTTGGATCTGGAAGGTTTGGCGAGGAGAACGAGAGAGGATTAACGAGGGGGAAGAAGAGAGGGAAAAAGAGAGGAAAAGCTAAACGATTAGGGTTTAGTCGTTTAGCTAAATGTTAGGGTTGCAATGGCTCCTCTCTTTCTCTCTTCTCCTTCTTCTTCCCCTTCTCTTCTTTCTTGGATGGACAAGGCTTGAGACATGCCACACACGATAGATTGGTATTTATGGTGTGGGGGTCGCACGCCACGCAACGCGGATTCAACGCCTTCGCTGGCCCCGGAACAACCTCTCTGTCACGTGCTTCTTCTCCAACGCCTTAAAAATTTCTTTACTTTACGTAAAAAAAAAAAANCCCAGAAAACCATGATTTCTGAGGAAAAAAAAATCAAACATCAGTGTTTAACATAAATATTTCAAATCTGTCGCCGTGGACTATAGCAGCAGATAACTGAGATCGGAGCGTTTTGTTGTGGAATTAAAACATTGCACACACAAATTATACGGTTGATAAACAGTGAACGATAATGTTAATAAAGTAGGGCATTGAAGAGGTGATACGAAAGAGAAAACGAAAATGAAGAAAAATAAAAAGCAGAAAAAGGTACCCACATTTGGATCTGGAAGGTTTGGCGAGGAGAACGAGAGAGGATTAACGAGGGGGAAGAAGAGAGGGAAAAAGAGAGGAAAAGCTAAACGATTAGGGTTTAGTCGTTTAGCTAAATGTTAGGGTTGCAATGGCTCCTCTCTTTCTCTCTTCTCCTTCTTCTTCCCCTTCTCTTCTTTCTTGGATGGACAAGGCTTGAGACATGCCACACACGATAGATTGGTATTTATGGTGTGGGGGTCGCACGCCACGCAACGCGGATTCAACGCCTTCGCTGGCCCCGGAACAACCTCTCTGTCACGTGCTTCTTCTCCAACGCCTTAAAAATTTCTTTACTTTACGTAAAAAAAAAAAAAATCAACACACACTGTTCTCAAAAAATATAACCTTTTTTCTTTTCTTTTCTTTTACCTAGATGTTAATAGTACCTGGAAGTATTAAGAAATCGTGTTTCCGATTTAAAGAGGAAGAAGATACATACATTGAACCTAGACGGATATGAAAAAGTGAAAAATTGAATTTTTGTAGTGATTGAATCTGGACGGTTTTTTGATAGAAGGAGGGAATTTAATGGTTGAGAAGTTGTGGTTGGTGATTAGGTTTAAGTTAGGTAACATTAGAATTTAGAAGAATTTTCTAGCACATTTGGAAAATTGAGACGATCTGCGCGAATTTTATAGCTGGCTTTTCCCGTCATTGTAATAACATCACTGCGACTGTAGCAGCGCTCAGTAGATATAGATTCTAATCAGCAATAAATGTACAACTATATCATTAATGTTTATTACTGCTATTTTTGTAGAGAAATTAATTATTAACCGACACTTTTTCCCTTAAAATTTAATTGATGTTAATGTTTTTATGGAAAAAAATAATTATTTTTCTTTTGAATGGACAGGTAACAAGCATAACGAATCAATGAAGTGTTTATTTTTGAATTAAATATAGATTTAGGTAATAAAGTTAAATGTAAAAGTAGAAATTAATTTTATTTCAAATTTAATGAATTTCATGATGAATCAATTTGTACTTTTGAGTTGAATATGCTTTTAATGGTTAAATTTTTTATATAGAAAGAGAGACAAATGGGACTGTGGATTGAGAGCCACTATTCCAGACAGCCAATGGTGATAAAGGAATGACAGAAAGATGAGAAACAGACAAGAAAATCAAAAGGAGGACAAATGAAGAAAGCACGAGGAGCATCACAATCTTAGCCACTTGCTTCGATTTTTTTTTTAATTTAATTTTTATTCAGACAAATTATACTCAATTTACTTCGGTGGTGTATGATTTATTTATTTATATCTATCAATCTAAGGTTGGATAATTTTAAGATAATAATATTCATTATTAAAATAAGTATTTTATATGTTTTTTATTAATCATAACTATAATAAGTTAGCAATCGAGTAAACTAATATATGGAGTTGGTTTTGTTTTTCCTCGTGCTATTGAGTCAAAAACATGTTTAACAAAAACAAATGATTTTACTCCATAAAACCCATTAAAACAACATGGTCTGCAATCAACTTGGATGGATAAAATAGATAAGATTCATAAACGAATCACATTTCAAGTTGATAAAACGCATTTTTTTAGTTTTTAAAGATTTTGTACAAAATAATATTTATCCCTTTATGAAAGATAAAATTAATTTATAATTTATAAATAAGAACAATTTTTACTTTTTTATTTCCATACACTTAGAATTATTCTTATATTAATATTTAACACTCGAAATTTGAAACTATTTTATATTTTTTTTAAAAAAAGTGGAATAGAAAATAAGACCTTGTTTTACTGGAGTCGTGCTGTAACCCCACCAAGTCAAGTAAGAGGAAGCGAATCAGTTGGAATCCACATGTAGAAATTATATTTTTTTCATACACAAATTTTTTATATTTATTTAATATTATCTTTTATTTTTTAAATACAAAGATTTACCTTTTTATAATCATTTTATTTTTATAATATGTATTAAATAAACATAAATGTGTGTGACTTACCATTATTTTTCATTTAAACTTTCGTCATATAGTCAAAGAAAGAAATGTGTGTCACTTATGGTTATTTTTTATTTTAACTTTCGTCAGTATAGTCAAAGAAAGAAAAGTAGTCAATAAGTTTATAGTGGTGACGTGATTCTGGAAATGGGTATGCAACGTGTTCTTAAATTATAATTTTATAATATATCTTTTCAAGGTCTCGATTCCATGGTCTTGCTATACTGTATTTTGGCTGATCTCCAAATAACAAACATTTTTCAATAAGCAGAAAGTCAAGGATGGAACGTAATTAGGTCAAAAGTGTCAGGTACAGCCAAAAACTGTGTTTTTCTCCCGGTCGTGGTGTGCAGCTAAGTGTCTACTCATCGAAAAGTAAAATTTCAATTTTGTGTTATTTACAGTAACTTTGAGGAATCTTATTGACTAATTGAATGATGTGGTACAGAAAACGATCGCCGCCGGCGAGTCTGGTGGATGACGAGTCTGATCGAATGGAGAAGGGGTCATGGTCGA